TCTATTTCAGGCCCTCCAACTCTCATCAAAATGTGTCAAGTCCTGCATTATCTCAATTCTGCCTCATTCCTTGCCTGTTTATGGCGGACGTATTTCCGAGTGGAGCATCAAAATCTTCAGCAAGATTCTCAATTGACTTGCACATCTCAGTGGCTAACACGCAGAGCAGCTACAGAAATTCATTCGCGATAGAGTGCGGCAACTAGGAAATAAACTCTTACCAAGATTCGAAATGATGCTGAACATCATCTATGTCCGATGTGCGTGGCTTTTTCATGACTTAGGAAAATTCATGCTGTGCCTTAATTTATTTGTCAAAGCCTTGAAGAGAGATTATTTTATTGTTTTCTAGTGTTTCTTAACCAGATTATTGACAGCTTCTTTTCTCTTATTTGTGTTAACCATGCTGAACCGAAGCAAATATATCCATATATCCATTCATCTTTATAGATGTTCATATATCCCGCATGCTGTATGATATTGGATTGTCCTTCAATCATAAAGTATTTCAGGGTGAGAAACGAGCTTACATAAAAGGATAAGATGAAGCTCTCCCTCTGCGCTGAGGGAAGTCCTTCCTCTTCAGCGGTAGATCATGTTGACGTCTTAAATGAACTAAGGCTCATGGTTGAGAGAGGAGAATTATGGGGCAGCGAGAGGGAGTGATCTGCAGACAAGGGGAGTGCCAAGGCTGCTGGCTCCCTCAAACGAAAACTACCCTCTGGGCTGGAACTACTTACAGGTATTCTTCGGTTATTGCTTCCAACTTTGTCGTGCCCGAAACGGACCCAGAGGCAGAACCAAGGGGTGTGGTGACATCTATGAGGGCTGATTCATGAAGGTATAATTTTTAACTTGCAGAGCTGAAGCTTCCCTGGAGATCCGTGATGTGCTAGAAGGATTAGAGGAAATTCACTCTCCTCATTCACCTTCCCTTATCTTCCTCTGCTTTTTTCTCTTGCGCTTTCTTTCCTCTCCCCGTCTAAACCTCGAAGCTTGCAGAGAACTGACATTAAGACTCCCTTCCCGCCATGTAGTAAACCTCAGGCTAAAATGCAATGGGTTAGAGAAGTGTAAGAAGAAACCAAACGTTTGTGACGCGGCGAACATCCCTATTACAGTATCTCCAGGCGATCAACACCCTAAACCCCCTTCGGTGTCTTCCAGCAAGAAATCATTAATATGCAGCAATCAGGCAGGCCCCTAACCTACCCCTCACCAGCTTCCATCTCCGTGACATCCCTGGAATTCTCGAAGTACGTAGGCTGATCAAAAAGGAACGGAATTTTGGCTGCAGATTAAACAATACTCTTCGAAATCGTTTGCCACTTTGCAGCAGATGTAAGCAGAGACTTAGGTCGAGTTCATACTCGTGCTGTACGGCATGCTGGATGCTACAACTGCATACTTTGCTCAAAAATCCAATGGACAGTGACATTGAATTTTTGACCATAGTATACAGTTTCAACATCCAGCATGCTGTACAGCATGAGAATGAACTTGGCCTTATGCTGCAATCACTTGCTGTACGTAGTTACACCTACTGTAAACGCTTGAGAGTCTTAGAGAACGATTTTCAGAACTTCATCCCAAACAAAACGGTGATATCCCAGGGATGTCCCCAACTGGACGACTTGTCAGTCGATGGTCGAGAGAGATGTCCCTTTCAGTATATCTTTAAGACATCCTTAGTCGAATGCTTCTGGATATCCCATCGGTGATACCTTGAAGGCATCTTCAGTCGAGCGCTTGTTGATATTTTGAGGAGAATGTTTTCGGGACATCTTAGGGATATCTTTTGGCATCTTCAGTGCTCTTTGCCGCCTTCAGTTAGTGCATACCTTCGACGGCAGATGTCTCCCGTGGGCCCTGAACTTCAACCTCAGATCTTTTCTGTCAAATTGATCTACTTGATTTGTCCTGAGGATAAGTGAGGATTTTCGTTCCGTAAATCAGGAAAACTGCCACATGGGAAAGTGAAAAAATTGCGGTCCGAATTTCAATTTATTCCTCTATATTCTCATTAATGACGTCTGATCAGCATGTCTGGATACAACTATCTTGGTTTGAGATCTAAGCCCGCACGTTTCAATGTGCCCAAGGTCTTCATCCATGACTTCTCGTGTTTAAGTGCTAAATTGTTATCCCTTGGAGGCAAGTCTTCTATAATGGGATCTTTGAGGAACAACGTTACCCTCGCTTTAAATTATCATTCTTTAGTTGATTAAGAACTTCAGATTAGGTGTTCCTAGAAGATTAAATAGAGACATCTTCGAAAGTAATGGGTTGTCCTGGGTGGTTGGAAGTGATTGCGTTACAGAAAGGAAGGCAAGTACAACCTGGGACTTCTCATTTGTCCCAAGGGGATATCCCTGGGATATCTTTGGGATATAAATTTACCTGTGCTGTATGGGATGTTTGCCCTCGGCTCCAGCAAAGTTCCCCAAATAAAAGACAATTGAAATTTTTACCATGAATCGCAGTGAATATAGTTGATGCCTGCAGAGTGGCCAACAATTTCGACGAGCATTGTTTGATCTGCAGCCAAAATTCCGTCCCTTTTTGATCAGCCTACGTAATATTTCTCTCCTCTTTCAGGAAGTGCATTATCTGGATAAGGACGTGATGTGCTGTTCTATGTTCAATGCGTCTTTCGAGAACAACTTGGGAACCTTCTATCTGGCAGCTTTTACAGGAAGTCACCTTCCCGGGGACTCCCCGTGAAAGTTCAAGAATACAAGAACTCATTGGATCCTCTATTAAGAAAACCCTTGCTTTGCTTTAAGGAAGCGTTTAATGCATGTTAGGGCCCCTAATAACACCCCGGGTAGCTGACACCTATCCTGTCGTTCTTCTCTTTCAGATGATTGTATGAAGGAATGAAAAATGGCTTGTGAAGAAGGGAAGTGGGAAAAGCATTCCCAAAATATTTTCAAGAGCGCGTGGGAACGCCGTTTCCATGCGTCTAGCAGAAACGTTAAGAGGGTTTCTGCAATTAATGAAAATCTGCTCGAAGTATATTGTAATATTTAAAATAAAGGGGAAAAAATCCTTACTGTTGGGTCCGTCTATAGGTGCTGCGGCGCATGGGATTCAACACATCATTCCTCATGTTAATACAGGTCGACTTTCATCACCGACAACGATGCAATAAACAAAAACCTCTTTTAACACCTGCATTCTCAATCACCGTAAGTCCAGCTAGAGCTAGTAGCTCCCCATAAGAATAATTTCTGGATCCGCATTTGTTAGTGCAAAACGAGTGTGACTTGGAAACTGTCACACAGGACAAGGGAACAAACGAGAAAATGATTAATCTTAAGCGATTGTTAAAGAACGGGGCTTGAGCATTAAGGATTTATTCCATGAGATTAAGTGTACAAACTAGGACGTCACGGGCGCTATATAGATATTATTTTCAATTCGTACCACCTTTAACACGGGACAATGTTATAATTCAGTGGTGGATTTAAGGGCAGGACTAGGAGGCACAAGTCGTCCCCCCCAAAGACCTTATACTAAGAAGACTGGGCACTCTGTGGCGGCGCCTTTGATGTCGGGGAAACCTCCTGCCCTGGTGTTTGGCCCCGGAACTACGCAGAACTGACCAATGGGATCATTGGATTGGAAACTTCTCTTTCAGATGATTGTATGAAGGAATGAAAAATGGCTTGTGAAGAAGGGAAGTGGGAAAAGCATTCCCAAAATATTTTCAAGAGCGCGTGGGAACGCCGTTTCCATGCGTCTAGCAGAAACGTGAAGAGGGTTTCTGCAATTAATGAAAATCTGCTCGAAGTATATTGTAATATTTAAAATAAAGGGAAAAAAATCCTTACTGTTGGGTCCGTCTATAGGTGCTGCGGCGCATGGGATTCAACACATCATTCCTCGTGTTAATACAGGTCGACTTTCATCACCGATAACGATGCAATAAACAAAAACCTCTTTTAACACCTGCATTCTCAATCACCGTAAGTCCAGCTAGAGCTAGTAGCTCCCCATAAGAATAATTTCTGAATCCGCATTTGTTAGTGCAAAACGAGTGTGACTTGGAAACTGTCAGACCGGACAAGGGAACAACGAGAAAATGATTAATCTTAAGCGATTGTTAAAGAACGGGACTTGAGCATTAAGGATTTATACCATGAGATTAAGTGTACGAGCTAGCACGTCACGGGCGCTATATAGATATTATTTTCAATTCGTACCACCTTAAACACGGGACAATGTTACAATTCAGTGGTGGATTTAAGGGCAGGACTAGGAGGCACAAGTCGTCCTCCCCCCCCCCCCCCCCCCCCCCCCCCCCCCCAGAGGCAAAAGGCCCCCCCCCCCCCCCCCCCCCCGACCCTTCCTCGATTAGCAGCCTCCCTCCCACCACTGAATCAACCCTTCCTCCGCTTAAAAAAAAATCCCGTTTCGAAACCCGGAGCTGTTTTACCTAGTCTGGCTTGGATCACTAAGATTTGTCAAGATTTTAGTTTTCTCGCCGCAGAAATAAACTCAATTTGATCATTGAACCAAGCCCCCCGCCCTCCTTCCAAAAATCCAGGACCCCCGTCACTGCAACAATTTGCAAATGAATTCATACCACCTTTTTAAGTTGAGCAACGTTTTTTTCTATGGTGCAATCAAGGTGAGGAGGGCATATCTCCTCCTTGATAGAAATGACATTAAGTTTCCAGGCAACAGTGGTTGGCTATTGAATTTCACGGGGGCGAATGGCAGAATGCTGCACGTTAGTGTGCCAATACCTATCAAGTGTCATTAAAATTTTCATTTCAATGAACGCCTAATGTCAAACGTGCAGCCGAGCATCTACTGTCTGATCATAATGTGCGATAACCGGTCCTTCGCAGCCCAGAGGGAGGGCTTCTGCGAACCGGATCTGGCCCGCGGGCCGCTTGTTGCCGACCCCTGCTCTATGATTAAGATGGTGTGAACTCATTTGCAAAATACTTTAATTTAATTGCCTGCATCTTTTGAATGCCTGCAGAGCCGTCATGGGCTATGTTATAAGATAATACGAATTGAAAGAAAAATCCCTGCAGCACGTGCAACAGACGTCGTCTGCGTTGGGTTTCGACTGTATCATGGCTGCCCCCACGGAAGAGATGCTTTCCGACGACTCTAGACCAATATTCAAATCTGTGAAACGTAGACCTAGACCTCTGAGAACGAGACCGAGAGAAGCAGACGAGGAAGATGATGAAGATGCAGAGGTGCTTGCTAAGGTGGAGGAAGCAAAGGAGCTCAGGCGTATCCGTGAAAGGCCTCAAGGTATTGATGTCCTGGAATTGGCTGTCGGCAAGAAGATTACGGACAAGGAAAAGATTGAAGTTGTAAGTATGGCAGTCTTTTTTTCGTTTGAATCCGACACTTCTTCACGTATTCCTCCACCCATCAATGACACTGTCTATACATGGAAGTTTGAGTCAAGTGAAAATTTTCGAATTCAAGCCAAGAATTCCATGTGCCTACATAGCCTGACCTGCAGTGATTTCATGACACTCAGTTCAGTTACATTTGGTTACAGTTTTGGTTAATCTCATGTAAACTGGAACCAAATTGGAACCAAACTAGAGCTAAACAACACCCCCAGGACTGTCTGTAGCCAAGTTTGAGAGTGAAGTGAAACAAGGAAGGGAAAAGGAAACAAACAAGGAAGCTGTATGCTGGGAAATTGTTTCACTTGATCTCAGCTCAGTTTAGCTCTAATTTAGTTTCTCTTTATCTCCAGTTGAGGGAGACTCAAAAAACTTATGAACCAAACTGAGACTGCCAGAAACCCTGGTGAAAGTAGGAAAGTGTATTGAATATAACAGATGTGTGGACTTTGATATGAATGTGCAGAACTGTGGAAGAAAGGGGTGGAGAAGGGTGTATGGCAAAGAGTGCATGTGGGTTTATGGTAGGTTATTCACTAATGAAATGGTGTACATGGTGTTCACAAGATACACAATAGCCACCCATTTGATAGTGTTTTTCCCTTGAATCTCACTCGCTTCCAACAACATTGTGTGGGTATTGCCATAGATGGGTGATAGAGAATCAGGAGGCTTGTGGAATGCACTAAAAAAAAAATTGTTTTTGCAAATAAAGGCAGATTTCATAGAACACTCACTACTTTCTGCAAAGGGACTTGCAGAATGAGGTTCAAATTTCAGCAAATCATTCACAGATATTTAAACATGTTTAGTTCTTTTGGCAGACAAAATGTCTGTCTGAAAATATGTTGTGAAGTGTGAACATTCCATGAACTTAACCTCCTCATGTGAGAAAGCCATACCTTTTACCATAAACTTATGTTATAGGTGTTGGAATTTTTTTCTAAGATGAATCCCATGTGTCTTTATTCTCACAGAAGGATCCCTTCCGAACCCAGACTGGTGGAATGGTGAACATGAATCTACTTAAACATGGTAAATGTACTGCTTCCAAGGATGATGCCTATGATACAGGGATTGGAACAGCTTTTTCAGCAGAGACCAATATACGTGATGAAGATGATGAGATGTGAGTTAGCCTAACATTAGTCCCATCATCTGTTGACATGCCCTGCATTAACCCAACAATAAGCTTGAAACCATTGTTTCATTATATTGTATACATTTTTTTCCCTAAATCATTTGCATTCATAGATTAAATGGGTAGTTTCTTGTTGCACAACTGGGCAAACATGTTAAAGCAGATTTGATGAGACAACAAAAGTGACTACTTTTGGTTTGTGTGAAAATGGTGTCCAATGTTGGTCCATTTGGTGTTCCTATGTTATGTGCACACCTCTATGCACACTGTGTGTCCAAGATCTTTTTTGTGAAGGTGTATGGTCTTAGGAAAGATCAGGTTAATTTCATGATGGGCCCACATGTAGGGAAGATGTGTTGGCATCTTTGCGACTTTTTCAATGTTTGTGACACCTTAGCATAAAAGGGATCATAAATGTGGCCTTCAAGTTCATTTCAATGAGAGCACCCTCTTTCCTTTGCCTTTTCTCCCTCCACCACACAGAGGTTGGAGCAAATGAGATGCCATTGTAGTGGAGCCTTGTCCACAAACTGGAAATGGGATGTTGTTGCCAGTATGGGAATGAAGAGAGTTTGTGGGTCTCATCCATGGGCTGGGAACAAATACAGAGTTTTTTTCAGTGTGTGCACAGTGTGCACACAACATGCAAGTACCCTTTTTAGGTGTTAGATTTATATTTTTCTTTGGACATTGATTTATCTATTTGTAAATGGAACTTATTTCATGTGGCTGACTTCATCATATGGTATCCAAAAGCATTTTCTTTCCTTCTCTTAATGCTGTCATCCCATTTCTTGGCCTGTCAATTGCTTTTAACCTCAGAAACTCAACATGCCATGAATTTAGTGTGTCAAATCATTGCTCAGAGGGATGAATCTGGCTTTTTGAGTTAATATTTGGTGGTGCAAAGAAAAAAAAAGGTCCTGTTCCTTATGAAACCATCTGTGGAAAGACTAAGTTTGTGATTTTTTGGTTTCATATCGAAAATACTACAAAATTTGTTTCCTGAAAGTTTTGAGTGGTCTAGGTTGTCTGTATAAAAAGTGACATGCAGTCATAAAATTAACTTTTTCAACACATGAGGTGGATACAGTCTCAGCACTAAGGTTTTTCTCCTTTGATGGATGCTTCTTATGCATCACCTTATCATAGTATTCTTGATTATGTGGTGTCTTTAGACCTCAGGTGAGGTCGGGCCTGAATTTCATCATGTATTAAGAATATAAGGACTAGAGGATGGAATAGAATAGTGAGAGTTACCTAACAAATTATGGACTTTCTTCTGTGCTACCCCTTTGCTAGCCCTTCATATGAAAAAAAAAACCTTTAATGCCTTGGCTTTTCCTTCGAAGGATACAACATGATGACTGCATATTTAAGAACATTGCAATGAACATACAGCCTAAGAAGCAGGCTTTTGGCAATGAATGGAACACCTTTTGAGAGTACTGGTAAAACTGCTGCCTCCCAATTTGTGGAAAAGGGAAATTATCCTAAATTTATAGTTGTTTTTACTCTTTACCCAAACAACCTAGAGACTTCAAAACTTTCATTTAAAAAAAATTTTGAAGTGTTTTCTGCATAATGCAAGAAATAGACAAAACTAAAGTTAAAAAAATAGGTGTTATAGCAGCTCAAAATTTTTTTTGTTTTTGTTTTGTGCCACCTGGTAATGTGTTTACAGGAGTTGCCTGCCTGGCCATAATTGAAGGGCTGATAGGAGAAGTGGTCCACAAAAAGTTTTGTCGAGGTCCTTTTAGACTGGTGAATATTTCAGTGACCATCTCCTTGTAAGGGAGGAAAAGTGATGTGTTTGGATGGACCAGTTTTCCCTGTGCATAGATTCCTGAAAACTACCATCTTCAGTAAAAGGGAAAAGGGTTTATGTGCACTAAAACAATTATATTTTTCTCATAAATTTTTTGCAGTTCGACCACTTTTCCTTTCAGCCCTTCAATCGTTTTCCTGAGCAATGAATAGCTGCCCCTTACCTCATCTGTAATAGACCTACTGTAGCTTCTTTTCAAGTTGACATTGGTGGACTTCTTTGTGGGATTGAACCATTTAAATTTGTACACTCTGTTGGGGCAGTACCATATGTACCATATAGGGGAAGGGGGGGGGGATACAATTTCAATCCAAGAAATGTGACTTGTGGTGCTATGGCATAGTGTGGTCTGTAAGGACAGCCATGAGTTCTTGGATGCAGGGGGTGCTCACTATTATTATTTGCAAACTCATGAGATCTCTTTAGCCTATTACACATTAGATTTACAAGCTACAGGATTCAAATGCTATGCCTTTATTTGCAAATATTCCTTTTACCCTGAAGCAATGGCAAAAGCAATGGCAATTGCTTTGCATTGGCGTTTCCCTCTTCCTCCTCCTCCTTTACGTCTCCCTCGAACCGTAAGTTTCAGTTTACAGATATGGAAAGACTTTTTTCAACGAAAGTAGGAAAAACCGAAAACAGAGAAAATTGTCCGGTACCGTATTAAAGTGGCATTGTGTCATACCTAATCCCTAAGTTAGTACAGAGCTATTGTGGCTATTGTGATACAAGTGGCCTGCATATTTTGTGCTTTTTTTATTATCCATTTAATTCATTTATTATTTATTTTCATAATATAGGAGAAAGTATATAGAGGAGGAGATGGAGAAAAGGAGAGGAAAGAAACCCCAAAGAGATAAAGAAGAACATGAACAACCAGGAGCCAAGATAATGGCCCCAGAGGAAGCAGCTCTCATGGCTGTCCCTCAGCATCTTCGCCAGGCAGCAGGAAAGAAATCAGAAGAAATGCTATCTAGTCAAATGCTCTGTGGCATTCCGGAGGTTGATTTGGGGCTTGAGTAAGTTCTCCACATGTCTTACGTATTTTTCTTCTTTGTGGGTTATGGTTGAATATTGAACACATGATGTTTTCTAGCCAGTAACACTCAGCTTATAGGAATTCTGTTATTGCATAAAAACCAGATACAAAGGACATGTCTACTGCACATCCATTTCTTTTAGTCATCTGGACCTCCCTTGTCTAAGAGACATTTTCATCTATAAGACCTTCCTGTGAGCAGACTTCCTATGTTAACTATGTTATTCTACTTCCTACAAAAACATTTGCGAGTAAAGGTGTTTATTATGGCGGTATTCAATACTGGCCCATGCATTTGCCAAGAGCTGATGCTGAAATTTGAAGTGCATGCCTAAGCTGTCTTTTTTGTCAAGAAATTACATTTAAGGTACTTTGGTTTTCTGATCATGTGCTTTTTTCCATTTCTGTTTCAATTTATGTATTTGAATTTAGGACTTAAGGAAAACCATTTATGTCTTCATTGTCTGTTATTCATTTTCTTTCAACCACTTCATAGCCAGATTATCTTCCTTATTTTTCCTTTATAGGATGAAGATAAAGAATATTGAAGCCACTGAAGAAGCTAAACAAAGACTTGTCCGGGAAAGAATGAAGAAGAAAGATGCTCCTTCAGAATTTGTACCTACCAACATGGCTGTCAATTTTGTCCAACACAATCGTTGTAAGTGATCAGTGTTCATAAAACTTAATGTTTTTTACTTTTTTTTTATTGTGCCATTCCTCTTGCATGGGATGAAATTGTTCATCTTTGACATAGACATAATGAAACTCTATACAACTACAGGAATAAAATTGTCTATCGGACCTACTTCCTCCTGGTGGTTTCGTGTTCTCTGGACATTAGTGACTCTTTCCCGGTTTTAGACTTTAACAACACCCTCACCTACCACTTCGTTGCATTGTGAATGCACCTGGGAACAAACGGAGGTCCGAATCTAAAGCCAGTGATGATTTTTACTTTGAAAAGTTTAAAAAGCAGTTCAGGAAGTATTGAAGTGAACATGTACCAATATACTGAATATACCATGATCTTACTGAATGTCTTGTGGTGACAGAAGATTCATTGAAATCACCTTTGTCTTGATAGAAGTTTTTCCATTCCATGAACTTGCATTTCTATCATTTATTGAATGCAAGATTTGAAATGTTTTCATGGATAATCAACTATATCCAGATTCACATCAGCAGAGCATTTCAAAGTGCACAGAAAATCAAAATGTGGCTGTCATGTGAAAGCCTTTCATGGCATACAATATTATAAATGAGGTATACAATGATGATTCTGATGAAGCCAAGGATTATTGTTGCATTTTCTTATAGTCATTGTTTGATAATATTAACAACTTGGATCACACATTGGCTGCTGTTGGTATTTTATCTGGAAGCCATGGCCATCATCATTGTCCTTATCATTTGACTTGAAGTTCAGGATGAATTGGCCAGAGTAACAGGCAAGAAGATCTGTGGGAATAATGATTTATCTTCTTTAGTTTTTCGAATGCAGATATGCAGAGTACCACTATCTGAATATGTCTGGAGTTTGGCTTACCAGGGAAACTTGTAGCATTTTCATTTCCACAACGTTCTGCAGGTGAAGCACCCAAAACAGTGAGCCTGTCTGCATTTCCACAGTAGAATGGCGGAAGGTTATTGTTATCAGGATTTGTACTGTCGAGGGAGAATTGGTAGCTGTGTACAGGATTCCACATTTATTGAATTCTCGATTGATGCAGATCTGGTAGTCCAAATTTCCCAGATAGTTACTGGAACCACGTCCATAGTTGAAGCTTTGAATTGTTCCCTCAGACCCGATGTAGTATTGAAGGCATTGACTGGGAGCTGCAAAACAAGATTTCCTTAGTACTTATAGGAATTAATTAATTTGGATCATCTTTCCATAGAACACAATATCAACCATTGTGAGAAGGTGAGCTAAGAAAATCCACTTGAGTGCAAAAAGAATGGGTATATTAGATAAGAGATTGGTAATGTTCCTACAAGTACCTTTGAGACGAGATTCCTTGGTGCAGTCAATCATGGTAGTTCTGATCTTCCATTTATAAGGTGATGTGTCAGCTTGTACTAAAAGAGTAAAGGTGATGGGGACTGCACTTGTGTTCAGGTGAACATACGTGTATACTAGAAAGAGAAATATGTATATCCTATTTCACTCCCTGATGTGATCAATGGCATGGAATCGATGAGCAGTGATAGAACTCAGAAACTCACAATGTTGGCCTGTGTTATTCCCACATAGTTTAATGTGGTCCAAATTGAGAGGATTGATCTCATGACCCCCTTCTATTACAAAGCTGTCATCGTCTCTACATTTGGCTGCTTTTGTACCATCTGGCATGTTTGGTTCGGCTAGTTCAAAATTGTCGAAGTCCAGCCTTTGTAAAATACCGGTAGAAGGAAAACGTTTCAGTTGTAATTTGTAACCTGGAATACATGGATTACTTCTTGGTTGCTGTAGTGAGGGAAAAATATGGATGTCACCTGACTTGGCAGAAGTCCTTATGAGGGACAGTTAGTTGGAACATGCAAGCCTTGTTCCTTGCTGTTTCTGGTTCAGGATATTTGGGATTCTGGAAGTATGCGACTTGCTTACTTGTTGACCCCTGGCATGTCTTAAAGACTGATACCCAGAGGGGGGAAACTCAGAATCTGAACATGGATTGGGTAACATACAATGTATTATCAGAAATGAGGGAATTGAAACTCACAAATGCAGCACACTCCAAATCCTTGTGCACAAGGCTTTGTAGAGATGGTTCCACCCTTCAGTCTGCATTCTTTAGCAGTATAACATGTCCCCTCGTCATTAACCATTAACTCCTGCAGTGGCCTACTCGAGGTCAGCTCTGGCACTCCGCTCGTACTATTTTGCCTTACCCGAAGTCAACTCGTTTCCAGTAGGGAATAAGTTTTTTTTTTGCTGGCTTTGTTGAAATCTGTGCCTTGAAAACTATTGCGTTTCTTTTTAGTGGTACTCCCTTCTATGAACATATCTGAGAACCTGTGGTCTTAATGATTTGTAGTGACAGCAGCTCATGGACGGATATAATTTGCTGTGAAAAGTTAGAAGTGAGCTTATTTTTTATGCGGACCGAATTTCGTTGTGTCTTTTACCGGGTTTCAGTTCTGATTCTGAAAATTGCAGCGGTTTTTAGATTTTTCAGATGGAAGTGACCGTGATGACGTTTTGTTAGAGTTAGGTGATTCTTTAGGAACTTTAGAATCAGAAATTGACATTAAGAACGAATGTGGAAGGGAAAGAGAACCCGGGGAAAAAGGGCATCCGAGAGGGTTCATCATTATTTAAAAATATGTACCTATTATCCAAATACACACAATTCAAACAGGACATAGCCGCAGTAGGGACTTGCAAGCCCTGAGAGGCCGAAGGTGCAGCTGCCGCTGCTGCTGCTGGGAGAAGGCTCATATCCTTTAATGAGTTTTTTCCTACATTAGTCAGTAATAATGTACCGAAACATCTTAGTATCGTAGTTTGCATAGCATGGCAGAATTCACAAAATTTTTTTAGCATTCTCTCAGAGGAGTGTTGACCCCGAAAAAACGTGGAAACAAATCGAAGTTCATTAAGTGGATGGTTTCATTTGTGATCTTACCCGTCGAATGGTTCATGGATTTTACGGAAAAGCAAGGGCGAGTACAACATTTTTCCCGGTTCGAATCTCCTTTAAGTGGGCCTCCTTTTCTGAAAGGAAAGCGACTACTTATGATCCCGTCCGTCCGTGTGTCCGCACTTTGGTTGTTCGACGATAACTAAGAAAACATTGGCCTGATCACTTCGAAAATTGGCAAGCAGGTAGGTATGGAGAAGATACGGGCTGAGTTCGTTTTGTGGCGAATTTGCACTGAAATTGGCATTTTTATTGCAAAGTTTGGATCGGAAATTTTGTCATGGAGTGGAAGGCATGAGAACCTGTGAGCCCTTCTGGATCTGGACCACAATGCACATGTGCACACGACCCAGGCCTTCGTCGCGGTTACGTGCCTCCAACCAATGCTGTCAGTTCTCTACTGGCCTTCGTGGGGATTGATTCAACAACGCACAACCCTCCATCCTCCCATCATTTCATGAGCACCATGGATAGATTTGCCAAATCTGAGAAATGAGATTTTTTATGGTCGAGGACCAGAAAGAGATGGCAATTTGTTCATGTAGATGACAAAATGAGGATCTCCTTAAATGAAAGGAGGCCCACTATGGACTGGGCTTGCCCATCTTGTTTTTTTTTCTCTCTCTCAAAAAAAATATTCCCCGTGTCTCTTCCTTAGGCCTGTATCAATTTATTTTCATTATAATTGGGTGTTGCAGGTTCCTTGTGTCGAAGGGCCAGCGGATCCAGCTGGAAGAGTTAAACAAGAAGGCAGTTGGGAACGTTCATGAACATTGCATTTAACATCTTGAACATTTAAGGTACTTTGTCCGGGGACCTTTCTGAAGTGTAACGAAGAACCTCTCGTCCAAGAACCTACTTCATTTCTTCATACTACTGTTGGTAAGTCACACTTTCGTATATCTTGAAACTTGGGTCGACAGCCATGATGTGATCACAAAGGGTTTTGTTGATGATCCCTACGAATGCCGGATCAACCAGCCTTCCAGAGGGAAAGGGATCATCCTAATGAATGCAGGCTCTGAGGACGGATCCTGACGACCTGGAGCCTTCTATCAGCCAATGACATCTCTCATTCATCTCTCGGTTACCATCAGAACATAAACTCCGTGCTATACGAGGAATGGCTCGAGAACCTCATGCGGTCCTTGATGGGTTCTTCTGTGGTAGTCATGGACAACGCCTCCTATCACAACCGCCAAGTTGCTTTCCATTACCTGTTTACCTGTGTGCGGGATCCAGCTGTAAATTAAATTCATTTTTCGAAGAAGTTTAAAAGTCCTATTCGTCGGTTGCTACCCTTGGGCGGCTGCTCTGTAGCTCCGGAAGTACTGTTCTGTAGTTTAGTGGAACTTCATTGGAATAGTAAAAATGTTATTCCGGCTGGAATAGGAAAAGATCAAGCGACAAAACATCTAAAGAAAATTCGTTTTGGATGAGATGACCAAGAAGTATGGGGTCTATAACGAAACCCCGAAAATCGAAACCTCGAAGGAATTGAAACGGGGAATGTAACATGAACGGCGAACGACACGAAACGTCGAAAGGGACAAAACCTCGAATGTAACAAAAGGTTTAAAAAAACTGAAAGCCTAGAACTTGCACTCCCAGACCGAGACTGCTGCCCACGGTCATTTTTCCTTTCTCCTTTCAATGTCAAATCTATTTCAAATGACGAGGATTTTTCTCTTTCCATGCGCATGATTGTTGCGTTGACCTTGAAACTCATTCAGGACATCCTCATTGCCTACAAATCTCTTATTCCGCAAATTCCTGAACATGGAAAGGAGATTGCTACTCACTTCCGAGAATTTTACAATGATGGTAGGCGCATGCGAGGCCGTCCTCGCATTCCGATTTTCGCCTTCGGCATGTGGAATGTTCATGAGGCTTTGAAGAGCAAAGATCCTCGAACGAACAATTCGGTTGAAGGATGGAATCGCAGGTTCTCATTACTCCTGCCATCGCATTATATAAATTTGGGGGCCTTCTTCGAAATCCTCCGCCAGGAGCAGAGCATGTTAGAACGGGAATGAGAACGACTCCTCATGGGCCATGAACCGAGGCGCAGACGGAAGGACGTTCAGCGCGACTGCAGGATTCAGAAAGTTTGTAACGACTATGCAAGCAGAGATGTCTTGGACTGGCTAAGTTTTGCGCATAATCTGGAGTTTTGAACCCCTCCTTTGCTTTCAGATAAAAGCCTGGACATAAAAAAAATAGTGTCAATTGACTTTTTGATTATTCGAGTTTTGTCAGTTCTTTCTTTTAATGCATTCGAGATACTGGTACATTCGAGGTTTCAGTTTTCTTCGTTTTCTCGTGTTTCGGAAGTATGGGCATGTTGTCCTAAGACTCCCGCCCTATCATAGTGCATTGAACCCCATCGAGGTGATCGGGAGCAAGGTGAAGGGAAATGGACAAAAAATGAATTCACACCCTGGAAACGTTGCTGAGATTGTGGATGTGCTCAGGAGAGCATGTGATAATCACTGACAGGGACTGGAAGAACTACATCCAACATGTAAAAAAAGTAATTATTCAAAATTCTAAAAGTATATGGAAACTCTAATCCCTCTTCATACAGAGATTGCGACTGACTTGTGGAAAATAAAAAGGCAGGTCTTGAATTGACTGTAAGGTGACAAGTTTAATGTTCAATTTTTAAGTTTAAATGATTTGATGAATGTCACATTTTCTTTGCTTTTAATGAAAATAAAAATTCTTGCTTCAATGACACACTTCTCTTTGAGATATACCCGACGCCTTGGGGAAGACAATGAGGCCTTCTACACGGTCATTTGTCATTCCCCGGAGACCGAGGTAGTCAGCCTTTGAGGGTGTCCAAAGATGCAATTGCTTTATAATGTCTGTATAAACTGTATCGTATCCAGTGACTTGAGTTATTTTACTTTTTATTTGAGGCTTACTAGGATCATGAGATGGATAATATACTTGGTAATACTTGGTTTTCTTTGGTCAAGATTACCAAGTTTACCTCTTTTTTCCCACTTTTCATGGAGATCAAAATTACAGTTTTTCACTATGGTTAGATAGTAAAAAAAAATTGCCAAGGCCTTTCATTCAAATCCTATTGGATCAATTTTGTTCAAAATACCACCTGCAACATAGGAATGGTTTCAACTCATTCATATACAAGGGTGTATATGAATGAGTTGAAACTTTTTCCATATTTTCAAAGGATTTAATTAAATATACTGCTTAGTCAGTGAAATTATCTAGAGGCTTTTTTGCGCTTTAGCTAGAAAACCATGGGCAGGAATATGAGCAGCTGAATTTTTCCACTCTAGTTATGTCTTCACCTTGAAGTCAATTTCTTTTCATTTTTTATTATTAATAGTGCCTTTCCTTATGCAAATGCTGATATTGATTATTATCTTTGGCATATATATAATGAAACTGATATGTTGACGTCCTTGTTAAACAGATAGCTTGGATGAAGGAGGACCACCAAAGCACAAGAGACCTGTAATCACTGAGAAAGGGCCAAAATCTGAAATTGTTGTGGGAGTGGATGGTGAAGCAACCATTGTGAATGCACCTGGGAACAAACGGAGGCCCGAATCTAAAGCCAGTGATGATTTTTACTTTGAAACGTACAAAAAGCAGCTCAGGAAGTATTGAAGTGAACATGTACCAATATACCATGATCTTACTGAATGTCCTGCAGTGACGAAAGATTCATTGAAATCACTTTTTTCTTAATAGAAGTTCTTCCATTTCATAAACCTGCATTTCTATCATTTATTGAATGCAAGATTTAACATGTTTAATGGATAATAAACTATATATTTATTTTTCCATCTGTAGAGCATTTCAAAGCGCACTGAAAATCACAATGTGGATGTCGTGTGAAAGCCTTTCATGGCATCCCATATTTTAAATGAGGTGAACAACAATGAGTCTAATGAAGCTAAGGATTATTGTTGTATTTTCTTATAGATAGTGTTTGATAATATTAACAACTTGGATCACACGTTGGCTGCTGTATGTATTTTAGCTGGAAGCCTTGGCCGTCACCATTATCCTCATCATTTGACTTGAAGTTCAGGATGAATTGGCCAGAGTAACAGACGAGAAGATCTGTGGGGGAAATGATTTATCTCCTTTAGTTCGAATGCAAATTGTAGTACCACTATCTGAATATGTCTGGAGTTTGGCTTACCAGGGAAACTTGTAGCATTTCCATTTCCACAACGGACTGCAGGTGAAGCACCCAAAACAGTGAGCCTGTCTGCTAAAGGTGTCATCTTACCGCCTTCCAATAACAATAGTCCTAAGCATGACAGCTCCCTCTTAAACCATCGACACATGTCCTAAGGTGTAAATAGCTTAAGAGCTAACTACGTCTAGACCATCAGGTCCATTGAGTCTATCAATGACCTTGGTGAAGGTATCAACTTCGAAACTTAACAAGGGAGTCTGGGCTACATCATAACTTCCGTAACTGACCCTCGACGTTTTGCTCTTAAGGAATCATGAATATCCTTACTTACAATTTAGTTCATCTTTCCATAGAACACAATATCAACCATCTGTGAGAAGGTGAGCTAAGAAAATCCACTTGAGTGCAAAAACAATGGGTATATTAAATAAGAGATTGGAAATGTTCCTACATGTACCTTTGAGACGAGATTCCTTGGTGCAGTCAATCATGGTAGTTTTGATCTTCCATTTATAAGGTGTTGTGTCAGCTTGTACAAAAAGAGTAAAGGTGATGGGGACTGCACTTGTGTTCAGGTGAACATATACTAGAAAGAGAAATATGTATATCCTATTTCACTCCCTGATGTGATCAATGGCATGGAATCGATGAGCAGTGATAGAACTCAGAAACTCACAATGTTGGCCTGTGTTATTCCCACATAGTTCAACGTGGTCCAAATTGAGAGGATTGATCTCATGACCCCCTTCTATTACAAAGCTGTCATCGTCTCTACATTTGGCTGATTTTGTACCATCTGGCATGTTTGGTTCGGCTAGTTCAAAATTGTCGAAGTCCAGCCTTTGTAGAATAGAATGAACTCGTTTCAGTTGTAATTTGCAACCTGGAATGCACGGATTACTTCTTGGTTGCTGTAGTGAGGGAAAAATATGGTTCTCACCTGACTTGGCAGAAGTCCTTATGAGGGACAGTTAATTGGAACATGCAAGCCTTGTTCCTTGCTGTTTCTGGTTCAGGGTATTTGGGATTCTGGAAGTATGCGACTTGCTCACTTGTTGACCCCTGGCATGTCTTAAAGACTGATACCCAGAGGGGGAAAACTCAGAATCTGTACATGGATTGGGTAACATACACTGTATTATCAGAAATGAGGGAATTGAAACTCACAAATGCAGCACACTCCAAATCCTTGTGCACAAGGCTTTGTAGAGATGGTTCCACCCTTCAGTCTGCATTCTTTAGCAGTATAACATGTCCCCTCGTCTCCATTCTCACCCGTGCAGTTCGTATTTGCAAAGGTGATACGAGTGAACAGGTTCAGGACTGTGAGTCAGCATATCAATGTGAAGGGTCAGTCGTATTTCTTGTATATATGGTAATACATAAATCACACTGTACATACTACGAGTCTGGAACGAGTTCCCAGTTCATTGTACTCTCAATATTATTCATGGTTTGATATTTCAGGGTTAATGAATAGAAATATAGATGAGGGTATACGATTACGAAAATATACTCATTATATTTAAGCGCAAATTAATTATCCGGATAGGATACCCAAATTTATTTGTTAACTAAATGACAGGGAACAGGATATATTTTGTTTGATTGAAGTATCTTTTGGTTCTGGTTGCATTTAAATACCGTTTCAGTGGTAAGCTCCGGCAGGTCGTGCGTACTATTTTATCTAGACCCAAGTCAGTTCGTTTGCCCTAGGAAATAATCTTATTTTAGGGGTTTGCCGAATTCAGTGCGGGGAAGTAGTTCCCAAGTTTTTTTCTGAGTGATACTGCCATCTAAGAACATATTAGAGAACTGGAAGTATTATTACTGTGTTGTGGTAGCAGTTCATGAACGGAATATATTTGGCAGCGAAAAGTTAAAAGTGCGCTTATTTTTTAGTCGAATCGAATTTCGTTGTGTCCTTTATCGCGATTTCAGTTCTGACTCTTGAAAAATGAATTTGGGTTTTCAGTAGGGCTGTCTCGATAGTATTTTTTAAAAACATCGATGTATCGACCTGAACTATCGATAGTGTACTGATGCAATGGGGGGGGGGGGGGGCCGGAGGATTCAATCTTTTCTCGCTGCGATCGAAACACGGACCCCTATTTGTCTTCCATAATCTCACGCTTGTGATCGGGGGTGCAGGGGGAATGTGTGACCTTCGCTAGGACTAAAGAAACCTACCATGCCTCTAACTATCGAAGATGATATCCATTCATCGATGGATGTATCAGGACAGTCCTATTTTTTCTTATTGCCGTTCGGAATCAGCTGCCAAGCCCGTTCGCGTAATTTTTTTCTTTTTTTTTCTTCCTTCTACGCGGTCTTTGGGCATCGGCACCGGCGGTTGCCGAAACATCGGTACAGCCCTAGAATAAGCAACGTCCGTGTAAAAAATTCACTGAGTTTACCTCAAATAGAGATAAAATGCCCCAGGGCAAGTTAAAAATTAAGAAAATTAAGCCTGCATACCAAAAAGAAGGACGGGATAGAGAGGGGATTAACCAATGTACGTTTCAAAATTAAGGGAGTATAAGAACAGTCCACTTCCGCAGCATGCCCCTGATGAGATCGAGTCGAAGACTGAAACAGAGGAGAAAAAAATATTCTACGTCTTCCCCCCTCTCCTTCCCCACTTCCTGTCTCCAATCGGGCATGTTTTTTTTCCTTCCTGTCTTTCATATAGTCAGTCCCAGCATTTCCAGAATTTGATTGTGATAAGAAATTGCAAGCCCATGGTCACGCCGCTTCGTCCTTTCCCCGCCCGGACAGTCTGTATTGTACTGTTCTCGCCTCAATCCAATGGGACATTTCCCCTTTAAAATCTTTTGCCGATGCATCGCGATTATCGAAAAACTATCTTCAACCATCGATATATATATAATCGATATCGTTGCATCGATCTATCGTGACAGCCCTAATTTTCAGGTTTTTCTGATGGAAATGGCAGTGATGAAGAGTTTCTTTTAGATTCAGATGATTATTCAGCAAGTTGAGAATCAGAATCAGGCATTGAAAACGAAAGTAGAAATGAGAGAGAATTCAGTATTTAAAAAAAGCCTTTCGAAAATCTTACATTTCATACATGCTCATTTATCTAAATTCACACAAATGAAGCAGGACAGCCTTACAGCCTTGCTAGTCCTGAGAGGCCGAAGGTGAGGTGCAGTAGGTGCTGCTGGCAGAAGGCTCATATTTCATTGTATCTTTCCCTAAATTGTTCAATGATAATGTACGAAAACATCTTGGTTTTGTAGTTTGCATGGCATGGCAGAATTCATGCAGATTTTTTCTCTTAGAGTGTATTCAATCATGACTGCAGCTTATTTAGAGTATGCCCTAATGCTAAATTATAACTATAGTATTGATACTATCAATAGGAGTGGCAAAAAGGTTTTGTGACTGTGCATGCATCACAGAGCTAGCATTGAGGGTTTAACATGAAAAATGTAAGTGAGAGTGGTAGGAGACAGCAAAAGATGGGCAATGAAAAGTGACATAAGCTAGTCTTAGTACTACTAAGCCTGCTAATGAGTGTTTGAGAGCTTAGGCTATGACACATCGTCAGGTATAAAAAAAATGTTCGAATGCAGCAAATGCAAAAGTATGATTGCATGTGAAAGTGCGCAAGCTTATGAAAAATGGGCATACGCCGAAAATTGAAAAAAATGGAAAGTTTAATTCATTTTGCAGATTTAAAAAATATCCATCGTCTTCTCTTTTACTCCTCCCCCCTCTAAATGGTGCATTTGACCAGCGGTGCGTAAACTGGGTGAAACGAACTTTGGCCTTTACTTTTTTCTCGGAATCAGGGAGTTTTAGGTTTCAAAATTCAATAAGTAGAGGCAAAATGAATAAAAGCACTACAAATCTAGGAAATTCCAAGGAGAAAATCTATCAAATATTAAAAAAAAAACATTTTATATAAGTATAAGTAAGTATAGGTAAGTATAAGTAAGTATAAGAACAGTCATATTTCGTGTTATGTGAGGATTTAATTTTAATACAATATGCTGATTCTTACCCGCAATGTTGCGAGCAAATCTCTAATCAAATTATTATGAAACTACGAATTGTATCAGGTATCATCTGAACTAATTTGGAGATCGGAATTATCCGGTGAAAATTTGAAAAGTTCAAGAAAGTTATGTGAAAAAGAAGATCGAAGGGGCAATCACAAACCCTAACTTCAAACTACTACATACTGCATCTGTTAACGTTGCAGAGAAGCTGCCTATTCTACTGCATATGGATTACCAGGCCTGTTAATACACAGCTACAGGGGTTATTTCTTGTAAATTTGTTTTCTACCGCAACTCCACTACAGGACCATCTCGGCGCTTTTCCGCACGAGACGAAAATTGTACCTGAGCTCGTGGTTGGATCCTTTCTAGGACTTTTCATTGCTGCGAAAAAGAATCGGAAAGTGATCGGATGAAAACAAGCTAATCAAATACCATGGGTCTCACAGATTAGATAAGCTAAAAAGAGAGAAAACTTACATTTGGAGTCTCTGTGGTCCTCGTCGTCAGCCTTGAGGACAGACTTCCCATCACAAAGATAAACGAGGAGGAGGAGGAGGAGAGCTGGTTCGCGAAGGAAGCACATCTCAGTCAGACCGGGGTCATCGAAACTAAGCCCGCCGGATCCTCAGCTCTTCGTATATATATGAACCAGAATGGGAAGGAGGGAGTGCTAGTGCTTTTGACCTGGCCAAACAGAAGCAGTTGACTTTTGGTGCGTAGTTGTGATTTCCTTTGACCGACTTGTTTCCCTCTATCCCAATCGGGTTGACTCTCGAAAGTAACGGTGGTTTCTTCTTCCAGGTCAGGTACCCCTCACAAGGATCCACCTACTCCCAGGGTGCAAACCCAACTCTGTTTGCTCTCCTCGCTTTACAATCAAGGGACTAAACACTATAAAGGGCATTGGACTATTTATTCTTCCACATTGTTCCACCTTCGATATCGTCTGTTAACGGAAACGATAGGCGTGATACAGTTACACTTTCGCCAATACTTTTTGTCGTCCCTCTTTTACAGCATCCTGAGCTGAGTCCGCGTGCACCATGTCGACGATTTAATCCTTAGACCAACATGGATGCGTGGCAGCTTGCGTGGAATATCGCGGGAACGCGACACGGACACGACTGGAATTTCAAGGGAATTCGAAGTCGAGCCATCGGCACGCCCAATCATTTACAATATTCACAAGTTTATTGAGGCAGTTTAGACCGTATAACTTACTGATATTGGGAAAATCTGTCACCTACCATTCCATGGTGAAGATTGAGATGATGCGCCTCTGCCATTTGCTCCTTGTACGCGACGGCGGACATGTGGAGCCTTGAAAAAATATGTTCAAGGACTCAGAAAGAAAGGTTTCCGAACATCCATTATACAGGGTGGGCCAAAAATATACCGGACAGTTTTCTACGATACTCTACAGTACACTTCACTTATTGCATATACAGTTTTAGATATTCGGGAGCTCATATGAACAAGAAACCAAAACTGCATTGCCGTGCACTCGGACGCAGACGGCATGTGACCTTGAGCCGCCGGCCTGTCCATCCCCACTGCTACTAAAACAACCCAGTTCTTGTTTGTAGTTCATATGAGCTCCTGAATTTCTAAAACTGTTGAATATATTTTAAATATACGCAAACCATTTTAAAGCTGATATATTCCTCTTTCAAATGCTGCAAGCCGCATTAAAATATATGCATTGAGTGCAATAAAGCGTTTCGTTGATAACTGTCCGGTTTTTTTTTACCCACCCTGTAGTAACGCTCCCCCATGTCAATATGCCCATGTCTCTCTCACTGAGCTCTCTCTTTCCCAGCGCCATGCCTGCTTTATTCTTACAATCCCTTACCTTTAACGTTCGCTCTGAAATATACGAAATATTCATCGTTCAAGGGACAGAACCGCCCGACACAGTCGGTGACGGGAAAATAGTCCTGACCCAGTGTGAATTACTTATACTCGATTCTCCGACCTATGAGAAGGTATTTAATGAAAATTAGGACTTGGAAGTCACGAGAAAATCCTCAGAAGCTCGAAGCACTTGGGTACAAAACTCTTTATTTCATCCTTGTGCCGAAGCATATTTGCAATTAGGATGCCTTTGTCGCAACTTTTTTATTACGGTCATTCAGCTGCTATTGTAATGTTTTCTCACATCTGTTGCATCAGGCATCAGGGCTGTTATGTTCCTCTTAATTTCCTTTGTGAGGGCGACGCCTTTGAGGTGCAGAAAAATGTGGGAGGGGAAATTGACGATCTCGTTGGAAAGGGGTCGTGGACCCAAAAAGTTTTGGGAATCCTTAATCTAAAATTAAACGCATCAGCACCGTCGGTCTGATGAAGAATCGCTTTTCAGAGAGGGCATGGCACTGTTTGCTTTTCAATACCTTCACTGTAGAATCGCTTATTTTTATATCGGTTCCCCTTAAATTGTCAAAATAAAGACCCTGCCGCTCTTCCCTTGGAGAACATTAGATGAAATTTCAATACCTGATTTCGATACCCTAATTTCGATATTTCCTAATGATGTAGATGCAGTTTTCCCAAGGAAAGGAATTACAGTGACCCTGGAACGTGATTTTTCCAACAACGTAGAAGGCTGCAATGCCTAATTCGCATGCACGCAATGAGATGGAAGAGGATTCCCCACCCTACCCTTACTGGGCTTACTGGCGCCTCTTTTCTTTCTTTGCATGCATCCGAGGACGACCTTGGTGCCCCAGTTCGCAACCGTAGCGTGGATTCACTATTTCACACTTGAGAATTAGTTTGCCGAAGGCTCTCTCTGTGGGACTGCCCCTAGGCATGTTCTGAGTCTTCACGTAAATTCCTTCGCGGAATGCTCTCGTCTTTCCTCTATTGCATCTGTTGATGCACCAAGGCAGAAAGTCTGCTTTTCCAGCCTTGAGAAAATGCACTTATAAAGTTTTACTATGACGAGGAAAATTCACTTTCCACTGGCAGCATGATTCGCAAACATGAAAATATGGAAATATTATTTGATTTCCTAAGTTTAGGACAGAATGCAATTTTGCAAATTGGGCTTGAACTTAAAATTAAATGCCGTCGAAGCGCGTTTTTTGTGACCCTGTGAAACTTTTGAGGCTCATTTTCTCTCCAGTTAAAACCGAGAAAGCATCTTCGAGCGTTCGACATGCGAGCGATGGTTACATTCTTACTGGAATTCTGGGGAGGAATCGATGCAAACAAAATAAAAAATTGTGAAACTTAAAATCATCAGGATTCTGCTGGACCCATAATTCACTGACGCCTGCCCGGATAATATAGCTTACTAAAAAGAAGGAAAAAAGGCGTGTTCACAGTTCAGGAAAGGAGATTCAATAAACCTGAGTCCCTCTGGAGTAGAAGGCCCCTTCTCGCCTCTCGACGAAAAGGAATGGGAGGACACGGAGTGTGTGGGACGGGAGTGCCTGAGGGGCTAGACAGGGCGAGGAATCTGAGCGGGCGAACGCGTTTTTTTTTAGGTACTATCTAATATATTCAATACTTGCGAGTTTGTTTGCCCTTCGGGCAAACAAACTCGCTGTGGTCGAGCCTTCGGCTCTCCATTACCTTGGATAGCGATTAATTCATTTATTCTTTGCGAAATGGCAAACAC